ATGAGATTTGCTTTCTTGTCTCCAGGAGATTACAGTGGAGTATGGAAGAAAAGATCCTCTTACATATATCTTTCATATTGATAATATTGACAAACACAGAAAAGGGAGTAGAGAAGGGGGAGATCTCAGAGTGTACATGCAGCTCTGAGAAGATAAAGCTTCTTCAAATAACTGGAATTTGAACAGATGACTCCAACTTACCATGCAAGTACCCTATTATCAATCCAATCATCTCTTTGAGGAGTCAAGGGGAAAATTGGATGAGGATAGATGGAAATGGCCGAAGAAATTGATCATGTAGTCCCTTCTCTGCCATCTGGAGTGAAAGTGTGCATATGAATGCATTACTGCTGTGCCAAGAAAACATGAAAGAAATAAAAGAAAAGCCATCCTTGAATGGCCTTATATTGTACTTTATTATTTGTTAGAAAGCCCCATAATGAAAACTTACATTGCTTGATATTCCTATCTAGGCTCCAAAATACCACTACTTGCAGGGATTACTTATACTAATTACTAACAATGCTAAATGGAAAATAAAGGCTCCAGAATAAAAGTACTGAGTATGAGGTGGACTGGGAGATGGTGAACTGTGAGTGAAAATGGGGTAGACGCCAAGAAACACCTCGGGGTGGAATTGTGTCAACAGCTTGGATCTCTGAGGTTCTTGAAGTCCTGTACAGGAAATCACTGGGTGGTCCAGTAACTTGATAGGTTCCCATGGCCACCAGGTTTCACTCCATTTTCCCTGAAGATATTTCACAAATTGAGGACAAGCAAGGGTCCTCTGGCATTTCTCAAAGTCAGAAAGGCTCTTCTCCCTCAAAACTGAAAAATTCTTTACCTTCAAACAAAAGAGTGGAGGGAAGGCGTGGATAGACACTCCAAGAATTTTCTTACTTCCAGTTACAGTCTTCAGTCTCTGTTCGCATCCCTGTGTTTCTACTTTGGGGTGCTACATGCAGGAAGTCATGCTGATTCCTTAAGAAAATACAAGAGACAGAAGCCTCCCTCTGAAAACTGGGTGCTGGCAGCCTCAAAACTGGGAGTTACCAAAGGGATCAACCAGATCATTCTCCCTTCTGATCCATCTCCCCATATCCTGTCCTTTATTCCAATCATTCAATTATGCTGTCATGGATAGAGTTCTGCCTCTTGCATTCATTTATTGATATGCAGGCATTTTATCCCAGAGCTGAACTGCTGAAGACCCAGGTCTCGGTGTTTTATTTGCTTTATAAAGTTATTTGTTTTTACTATCCCAAGTAGAAACTGTTGACACATATTGGAATGTTTGAAGAGCACTTCATGATAGAAGTATTTACAAAGATAGGCAGGTTAAGGAAAAGTGACAAGTGCATGGTGAAACAGGGAAAGAACAAGGGAAGGAACACTGAGGAGACAGGGCAGTTGCAGAGGTGGGAGAGAATGAGCATAAAGATGGAGAGGCACTGTCTCTGCCAACACAGACAGAGACAGACAGAGAGCCAGGAGATGTAAAACCCAAGTTCCTTTCCTCCTGTCCTCTGCTCTCCTGGGAGGTGTATTCTTGTGACTCTATTCAACCAGAAAGTTGGATGAAAATAAGTGACTCATAAGTGTCACAGACACCTTCCTCTTGATATGCCAAATCAAACAGAGAAGGAAGAAAGGAAAATTATTTTGGCAAATTACACTATCCCTCAAATCTCCTTCTCCACTTCCTAGAGTCTTCTCTACCTAATTGTCATTGAATTGTTTTTCACAGTCGGAAATTAAAGGGCCCATAGCAGTTACTTAGAGGTAAATAAGAGAAGGTGGGATGGGAGAGGCTCAACATGAGTAGCAATTGGGAAGATGCCCAGAAAGATTTCTCTGTGGGTCACATCTTAAACTGCTCTGGTTTCTCATTTGCCCACAATCCTTTGCAGAAAATCAAAGGAAGGGCTGTTTAGCATCTTGATAGCTTTTCTTATTCACTGCTTTTTCCTCCAGCTCCTGTGTGCATCTCCTGATTTAGAAGACAGAGAAGGGTTCTCTGGTGCCCCTTAATCCGAGAAAAACTCTCCACTTCAGCACAGATCAGCTCCCCTCCTGTGGATAGAGAATGGAAGAAAGGTAAGGGTATATTCTAAATGCTTTCCTGTTTCCAGTGATTGCTAATATTTTGTACTGAGTTCATATTTCTATGTTTCTACCTTGTGATGCTACAAGCAGGGGGTCATGGGCTTCCTTCAGGGAAAGGTCGAAGAGATGATACCTCTTTGTGAACACTAGGTGCTGGCATCCTTGACAGTGAATGTACTCAGAGGGCTTCTTCAGACCATTCTCCCTTATGATCCATCTCCCCATATTCTCCCCTTTATTCTGGACATTCAAATCTATTATCATAGGGAGAACACTGCTACTTACATTCATTTGCGGACCACAGTTACATGCAGGAATTACATCCCAGAGCTTAGCTGCCATAAACCCAGATTTTATTTTGTTTATTTTTTAGGGGGTGAGGGGTACTGGGGAATGAACTCAGGGGCACTCGACCACTAAGCCGCATCAACAGCCCTATTTTGTATTTTATTTAGAGATGGTCTCATTGAGTTGCTTAGCTCCTTGCTTTTGCTGAGGCTGGCTTTGAACTCGCAATCCTCCCACCTCAGCCTCCTGAGCCACTGGGATTGTAGACGTGTGCCAGGACACCCAGCTCCAAGGTTTTCATTATGTTACTTGCTTTTAAACATTGTTCTTCTTTGCATATTTAAGAAGAAAAAAGGCAACCCCAAAATGAAGTAATTGAGTATTCCTTTAGTTGACTGTTTACAAAGGTAGAGTTAAGAAAAATTTACATGATATGGTAAAGTAGCTTAAGGCAAGCAATAATAAAGCATTATACAGACAAGAGAGAGAGAGAAAGAACAACAACTAGTTGTAGCAGTAGCAGGGGACAACCAAGTAGGAGGAAAAGCACTGTCATTGCAACTCACAACCTCACAGGCAGAGAGCCAGGAGTTAAAACATTCAAATCCCTCTCTTCTTGCCCTTTAGTCTCCTGGAAGAAACTCCCACATGTACCAACTGAGGTTCCCAGAGTGGGGATAACAGAGGTTGTAGATTTCCTCCCATATCCCCTTCTGGTCAACCAAAGTTGTGGGAGATTTTATATCTACAAGACCTCATGTTGGATGCATTCACTTCTGATGCCTCTCTGCACACCAGAGAAGGATGTGTTCTTTTTTTCACTTGAGGGTCCATGTGAGTTCTCTGGCCTGCAAGACCTGGCTTCCCTTGAAAACAGGGGAGAGCTTCTATATTCTCATCTGTTCCTGACTGGCTTCCAAAGCACCTCATTATTGCCCTATTTTGCTTGTTTCCCTTCCTCTAATTTCTGAAGTTTGTTTATACTAGACTTTCTGAAATACACAATTTTGACAACCAACTTGGATTTAACTTGGGAATTATTCGTCTGCTGCCCCACACCTATGTAGATGTAATCACCAGTTCTGTGGTGCTGGGTCAGTAGGGCCAAAGAGTGGGCCCTGAGGCAGCACTCCTGAGTTCATCCACAGTGTTAGACCAGGAGAACGCATTCATCTTTTCTGTGATCTAATTTTATTCTCTGTATAATAGAAATAATACAAATTTTCTCCTCAGAGGTCTCTAAAGGAATTCAAAGAGAGAATACTTTATAAATTCTCCATTGTCTATTATCATTCACCCAGGTGTGAGCTAGTTCACTTTCCCTAGTTAAAATATATGCAAGCATCTCTTTTCATTCCAACCCCTTAATTTTTTACTTCTCCTCATAGATTACCCTCACACAAACTTCTACCTGCAAAGAAAACTCTATTGGGAGAGAAAATGGAAAATATTTATATTATACACTTTACAGCACATCACTTAATAGCTTTACTTTAGATGTTTTCATATTTCAAAAACCTTTTGTTAGCACTCAGAACTTATCTCTTATTTCTCTGCCCTACAAACTGCTGGGCAATTCAGTTCAAACTCACATCCTAACCCCATATTCTGCACCAAATTGTTACAAAGTACCCAGCAAAGCCATTTTTGTTACTTGCTTTTGTGGCCCATCAGTTTCCATTGCAGTTATTTGGATAGACATAAGTAAGTCTTCTAAACACACTCAGTTGTCCACAAAAAGAATAATGATGAATGGAATTTTCTTCACCTAATTTTACCTGAATGTTCTAATTCATTTAATTGTATTTCATTTTTATTTTTCCATTTAACCCAAGTCTTCTGCTACCATTAGTCTCCTTATTCATGCATCCATTCACTGAATAATTACTGAGAATACAGTGTGTAGCACCAAATCTCGACAAAGGGATAAACATAGTGTGGCTGTCCTCTGTGGCTGACACACTGAGACATTTCTATGACACACTTAGCCATTACTAGCCTACCAGGCCCAATCACCCTCATACCTGCCCTACCAAGAGGTCTCATTCATATCAGATCCCCAAAGCAGTCTTTGTTCTCCTATATACAGCATTTTTACTTGTGAGTATGGTCTGGAATCATCTTTGCCTCTTAAAAATTCTGAACCTGAGAGAAAAATTCTGGTCCAGGACAGGCTAATGCCTTTGTCCACAGTTCTTTCCTGGTATCTCAGATCCTATCCCAGACTTTTCCTTCCTCAAGAAATTCTGGAGACATGGCATAAACTCTGGCAGGAACAGAAGGGCATCCATGTGCATGATTGGACCATAGAATATTCCTGTCAGTAGATGAACCAGTGCAGCAGCAGCCAGCACAGCGTTTACAGTCGACATGAACTGGGTTTGAGTCCAGGACCCCAGACCCCCTGGGCTTTTTTTAAATAATTTTTACAAGCATCTGTGTCCTCCCCTGTGACACAGGGACAGTAATTCCCACACAGCAGGGTGGTCCTGGGACTCAGAGGTTATGCAGCAGGAACTCATGACTTTCTTTTTGTTCTTAGCAGCTCCAGTGGAGGGGTTCTGAGCATAAGTCCAACCACCCCAGCCGAGGGGACAGAATTCACAATGGTGAACGGAAGTAACTGGAATAATCCTCAACCTGTCAACTTTTGGACCTCGATCCTGGGCTTGCCAACCCTCATCATTGCCCAAATTGGGCTGGTGGGAAATGCAGTTGTGTTCTGGCTTCTGGGCTTCCGCATGCACAGGAACGCCCTCTCAGTCTACATCCTCAACCTGGCGGGAGCCGACTTCCTTTTTCTCTGTTTTCATGTTATAGTTTCTCTGAACAAACTCAACCTCACTTTCCTTTCCTTTCTCGCCTTCATCCTCAACTACTTACCCATTGTAATGACCTGTTCCTACCTTACAGGCCTGAGCGTGTTGAGCGCCATTAGTGCTGAGCGCTGCCTGTCCATCCTGTGTCCCATCTGGTACCGCTGCCACCGTCCGAGACACACGTCAGCTGTCATATGTGCCCTACTCTGGGCCCTGTCCCTGCTGCTGAGCATCCTGAAGGAGATCCACTGTAAATTCCTATCTACAGATTTAATCTATTGGTGTCAGACATTTTATTTTATCACAGCCTTGTGGCTGATTTTTTTATTTATAGTTCTCTCTATATCTAGTCTCACCCTGCTCGTCAGAATCCTCTGTGGCTCTCGGAGGGTGCCACTGACCAGGCTGTATGTAACTATTGGGCTCATAGTTCTAGTCTTCCTCTTTTGTGGCCTGCCTATAGGCATCCTAAGGTTTCTGTCATTGTGGATTCATAATAATGATGTGATTCTGCATTTTTCTGAGGGGACTGCTTTATTTCTGTCCTGTATTAACAGCAGTGCCAAACCCATCATTTACATATTTGTTGGCTCCTGTAGGCGGGGACAAAACCTTTGGCGGCAGCAACCATCGCTCAAGTTGGTTCTGGGGAAGGCCTTCCAGGACACACCTGAGGTTAAGAAAAGTGGAGGAAGCCTTCCTCAGGAAACAACAGAGAGTCCAGTTGTCCCTTAATGTAGTGATTCTGCAAGTTCAAGTAAAGTATTGTTTCAAAGAAGTATTAACTCTGGAAGATAAATAGATGATTGTATTAGGTGAAAACTTTACATTGATATAGATATATGTAGAGAGAGATATAGAAATAGAGATGCCATTTATTGATGTGTTATCTGTGGCTGCTTTCACATGACAACAGCAGAGATAAATACATTGTAACAGAAATCAAGTGGCTGCAAAAACTAAAATGCTCATTAATTTATTCTTGTTAGTATGTGTATGAAATTATCACAATCATAAGTTCTATTTAGTGTAGGGCTTCTGTGTTTGGGATTGGGGTCTCTAATAATTGATTAGCATGCCATAAGCATGATTGTGGCATGCTTGGTGGCTAGGAAGTTTCTGTGCATAGGCACAGAATGCCTGGGTGCTAGGAAATGTCTGTGCAAAGGTACAGAATGCCTGGCTGGTGGGAAACTTCTGTGTAAAAGACATGGGATGCCTGGCCACTCTAGCAATGTTTTTCTTGAGGAAGCTCTGTGTTGAGATTTTTATCAGTTTTGACTTTGATCTTAGCACATAACTCCTGGGAATAAAGGAACTTGCTTGCTAGATAACTACAAAGCTTCACCAAGCTTTGGTGCTCCTGGATCTGCCTGTTTAACAGTAACTTTAGACAATGGATTTTCTTAAGAGCAGCACAAAGCTCCTGACATTGTGTATTGAAACTGAAGTGAAACTGCAGACTAAGTAACCTTACTAATACTCTAAACAATAATGTAGTTATGGTACAAATGACCTAATGTAACCTACTGGTATAAATAAACATGGTTGCTTGGACAAGCAGCCACTTTCCTGCCTCTGCTCCTTGTCTCTGAGTCTCCCCTTATTATTATTCCTTACAACTGGTGACCAACACTGGGGCGTGAGAAGAGTTCTCTCCCCAAACGGCCTCCCAGTCCACAGAGAGTTTGAGACAACAAAATCTGCTCTAATAGAGACCTTTCTGGATATTGACAGGTAACCGAGAGAGTAGATTACTTATGCCTGAAAAAGGCTTTTCATGCATGTCTTTCATCCGCTGGCACAGATCCCTAATCAGTCAGCTATGGGTAATTCTCTGATGTCTCAACGACATCATTGAGCCAAGCTTTATCTCCTACTTAGCAAGGCTAGACATACCGCAATAATGCTGATCTTGCTGCCTTGCTGACAGAGATAAGCTCTTGCTGTCTTTTTTATCCAAAAAGTGCATTACCAAATTTAAAAGATTTGGAAAAGATAGGTGAAATGTTTCATGAGGAGCCACAATCTTCTATTCCTGTGCTTCAAGCCTGGTTTCTTTGTCATAACACTATGGATAAGACTTCTGTTTCTCAACCTGCCTGCTCTTTTCCCTCTGTGCCCGGACATGTGGCCTCTTTAAATCAGTGCAGCTCCAACAGCAACATGCTGTCCCTAGCTCTTCTGGAGCCTCTCCAGTACACTCTTTTAACTAATTCACTGCCAGCGCCACTGTGGCTGGCTATTGGCAACCACCCTGCCCCCAGCTAGAGTCGACTTAATTGAGTGTTTGGGACAAACTGTTGAGGAAGGGTAGTCTCATATGTTAGCTGTAAATTCTACTAACCAACCAAAATATGAAAAGTTACCTTTTGCTGTATTGTAAAAAATTACAACCTACCAACCCAGGGCAAAAGGAGGGGGAATCCATTTTTCCAACCTCCACCCAAAAATCCTCTATTGTTCAACTGATTGTAATTCCCTATGTTTCAGCTCAACAAACTTTAAATGAAAGGGAAAATACAAAGTTTAACTCTACTGTTATTGAAACATGTTTATCAATTACTAAAAGTAAACCTAAACTAACTCTTTGTTTAAATGAAAAGTCATTTACAGAGTTATCAGACACAAATACTAATGTCATAGTAATAAATACTTTTATGGTATGGCTTTATGTATGACGTTCAGAGGCCACCCTGGTCTGGGGCAAAAAAAATTTTTAAAATTTTAAAAAAATAATCAAGTGTCCAAAAGCTCCCTGTGGCTATCATGTGCTATCCTTTCCAATCCACAACAAATCATTACTTATATTCAACCATATGTGGAAACTATTACAAGATTTGTAAGATTAAAACAAAAAGAAAAAAATAACTCAAAAAATGTAAACTGCAACACCATGCTTTAAGAAAATTATTTTATAAAAGAAAAGATAATGGTTATAACAGTTTTACTTATTTGTAGCTTCTGCTGAATCTCTAATTTTCCTAGCCTTATATTTAAAATCGTATAGGTGCTATACGATTTGTTAGGTTTATTAAAAACCAGTTCAGACATAAAAAAGGTTTTTTTGCATCTACTGAGATGAACAATAAACATAATTTATCATATTAAGAGACTTAAAAACAAGAATCATATGATCATCTCAATAGATGCAGAAAGACCATTTGACAAAATACAACACACCTTCATTTCAAAACACTAGAAAAATTAGTGATAGTAGGAACATAACTCAACATCTTAAAAGCTAGATATGCTAAACCCAAGGCCAGCATTATTCTAAATGAAAAAAATTGAAAGCATTCTCTCTAAAAACTGGAATAAAACAATAATGTCCTCTTTCACCACTTCTATTCAACATCATACTTGAAAATCTAGCTAGATCAATTAGGGAAAAGAAAGAAATTAAAGGGATACAAATAGATAAAGAAGAACTTAAAGTTTCATTATTTGCTGATGCCATGATTCTGAATCTAGAAAATCCAAAACAAATTCACAAGAAAACTTCTGGAACTAATAATAAATTCAGCAAAGTAGCAGGATATAAAATCAACACCCAAAAATCAAGCACATTCCTATACATCAGTGATGAATTCACTGACAGAGAAATTAGGAAAACTACCCCATTCACAATAGCTTCAAAAAATAAAATACCTGGAACTCAATTTAACAAAAGAGGTAAAAGACCTCTACAATGAAAACAAAGAACATTAAAGAAAGAAATTGAAGAAAACCCCAGAAGATGGAAAGATCTCTCAGCTCCTGGATAGAGAGAATTAATATTATAAAAATGGCCATACTACCAAAAGTATTATACAGATTTAGTGCAATTCCTATTAAAATCCCAATGACATTCTTCATATAAATAGAAAAAGCAAACATAAAATTTATTGGAAAAAATAAGAGACCCAGAAAACCTAAAACAATCCTTAGCAAAAAAAGTGAAGCAGGAGGCATCACAATACCAGACCTTAAACTACATTACAGAGCTATAGTAATAAAAACAGCATGATATTGGCACCAAAATAGACTTGTAGACCAATGGTATAGAATAGAGGACACAGAAACAAACCCACATCAATAGTTATGTCATACTAGACAAGGTGCCAAAAACATTCACTGGAAAAAAAGATAGCCTATTCAACAAATGGTGCTGGAAAAACTGGAAATCCATATGTAGCAAAATGAAATTAAACCTTGAACTCTCACCCTGCACAACTCAAAGTGTATCAAAGATTTAAAAACTAGAACAGAAACCCTGTGCCTAATATAAAAAAAATTAGGCCCAATTCTTCACTACATCAGTCTGGAAACTGACCTCCTTAACAAGACTCCTACAGTGCAAGAAGTAAAATCAAGAATCAATAAATGGGATTAATTCAAATTAAAAAGCTTCTTCTCAGCAAAGGAAACAATCAATAATGTGAGCAAAGAGCCTACAGATTGGGAGAAAATCTTTACCACATGCACCTCTGATAAAGCATTAATCTCTAGGAAAAATAAAGAACTCAAACACATACACACACACACACACACAAAAGCAAATAATCAATCAATTAATGGGCTAAGGAAGTGAACAGACACTTCATAGAAGAAGAAATACAATCAATCAACAAATATATGAAAAAGTGTTCAACATCTCTAGCAATTAAAGAAATGCTAATCAAAACTACTCCAAGATTTCATCTTACTCCTATTAGAATAGCAATCATCAAGAATACAGACAAGAATAAATGTTGGCAAGGATGTGAGGAAAAAGGTACACTCATACATTGCTGATGGGACTGGAAATTGGTACAACCACTATGGAAATTACTATAAAGATTCCTCATAAAACTTGGAATGGAACCACCAATTGTCCCAGCTATCCTACTACTTGAATTATACCCAAGGACTTAAAATTAGCATAGGACAGTAATGCAGCCACATCAGTGCAGCTCAATTCACAATACCTAAACTATAGAACAAACCTAGGTGTTCTTTAATAGATGAGTGGATAAAGATAATGTGGTATATATGCTCAATGGAATATTACTCAGCTTTAAAGAAGAGTAAAATTATGGCATTTCCCAGTAAATGAATGGAGTAGGAGAATATCATGCTAAGTGAAATAAGCCAATCCCAAAAACCAAAGGCCAAATGATTTCTCTAATATTCAGATGCTAATTCACAATAAGGTGATGGGGAGGTGGGGGACTAGAGAAGAATAGCATTACCTTAGATTAGATAGAGGGAAGTGATGGGAGGGAAGAGGAGGGGATGTGAGGATAGAAAAGATAGTAGAATGAAACAGACATTATTACATTAGGTATATATGTGACCGCATGACCAATATGATTCTACAACATGTCCATTCAGAAGTTCTATTAAATACAACAAATCAGTAAAATATAAATATGTGTATATTTTACTGATATATATATATATAAACAAAACTTAAGTTCTTTGAAGAGAACAACAAAATAAATACACCTCTAGTAAGGCTAGGGAATAAAAGATATGATGCAAATTACTAATAACAGAAATGATCACGAGTTCAGAGCCAGCCTCAGAAAAACTGAGGTGCAAAGAAACTCAGGGAAACCCTGTCTCTAAATAAAATACAGAATAGGGCTGGGAATGTGGCTCAGGGGTCAAATGCCCCTGAGTTTAATCACCATTAGCCCCCCCCAAAGAAAAAAAAGAAAATTGATATCACTACAGATCACGCTGTCATGGAAAGGCTTGTAAGCTAATAT